GTTGACTTAAAAAAAAAGAGATTTGTACCTATGTTGTTTATTTATTATTTCTTGCCTATATCTTGTAATATGAGCAACTACTTTGGCAGTAACAATACACAATGTACTAACCATTGTTACTCTCCTAAAATCTTGTTTTGAGATTTTGTACCATTGTTTTTTTTTTTCTTCTTTAAAATAAAAATAACTGATGTCAAAAAAAAAAAATGGCTTTTCTATATTATGTAAAGCCAATAAGAAATAAAAATTTATCTGGGCACAAATTTCAATATCTTTAAATAAGTGTGAAACAACCCTACAACATGCATTCCTATACCTATCTCATTTTTAGTCAGTGAAAATGGATTTAACTGTTGACCTTCCATTTGTAATGTATCCTTATAATGTCTTACTTATTAATCAGTTGATTTTCCTTTTTTCTTACATGACTACAGCAAGAAAAATTCCATCCTGTCTTTAAGCCTTCCAGACCCCTGGAAGGGAGAATTGCCCGACTTAATCAGAACCGACGTCCTCTGGAGGCTACTATCCATCGGAGACCAGCTTCCTGTCCAGATTGTACTCCTAGAGTTCTGTGTAATTTTCATACCTTTGTACCTAGTTCTACAGAAATGCTGGCACTAAGCAATAATGTACCATCTGGTGTGACCCGTAGAAACCAGGATATTGAAGACAAGATTAAGGAAGAACAAAGCTTGCTGTCTACTTATACACTCCCATCTTGTAACTCGGCGAAAGATCTGACTAGCATTTATGATATAAAACCATTTTCAAAAATCACAGATACTCAAAAGACAGAAGATTTGTATTGGAGGCAACTGTCATTAAAACCCCCACCAACACCTTACTATAAATCAAATGATTACATTAACTATGATCATTTCAAGTCTACTTTACGTGACCCATATGCTATATGTCAAAACCCCATTAGGCTTAGTAAACCTAGTATTTTGCAAAATGTACCAGACATGGAAGCTTGCGCTTTAGAACATTTTTTAAATACACCAGAAGAACAACTGGGCATGAACATAGAAAGCAATGAAGAAACAAGACCTTTTTTGGGTTGGATTCCTAGAACAGCTAGAACAGTTGCCAAGCCTCACACCAACCTATTGGATCTTAAGAACTCTTTTTCTAAAACCGGTGCCCAAAAGCGTTTTCATAATTCAATCCTAGAAGACCATAAAGACCTCAGAGATAAAGACCATTCAGGGATGAAACACCAATTCTATGGACATAATTCCTATTATTTCTATAACTGAGATATTCCTTCTCTTCACAACCCATCCTCTTTTGAGAGAAGAAAAAAAATAACAGTTTCTTTCATTTTGCTCGGTACTATTTCTAAAGCCATGAACACCTTGTTAATGAGGTTCATGTTTTCAGGAATTTAAGTTAGGATCTAATCAGAAGAACTTTGAAAAAGTGATGTTCTGACTTCTTGAACAGTTTAACAACTTATCAATAAATATTTGATCCAGAGAATTTTAGTCTTTACTCTCATTTTCAAATTATATTCTAAAGAAATTTTAAGGGGCCAGGGAAATGGCTCAGTGGAATAAGCGCTTCCCTGGCAAGCGCAAGGGCCTGAGTTCAATACCTGGTTCCGATAAAATAAAATTTAAAAAAAAAAAAAAAAAATTTAATTATAGAAAAATTCTGTAACAGGGGCCGGGGAGATGGCTCAGTAGGATAAGCGCTTGACTGGCAAACGCAAGGATCTGAGTTCAAACCCCGGTTCCCCCAAAAAAAAAAAAAAAAAATTCTGTAACAGTTTACATCATCACTTTTCTAAAAAATGAAAATTTACCAAAAATGCTCAAGAACTGACAAATGAGGAGTCTGGTGAGATGGCTCAGTGATCTAAAGCACCTACTTAGAACGAGCTTAGTAAAGCCCAGGGACCACGGTTCAATCCCCCAGCACCACATGCCAGCCAGCCTGCCCCCTGGTGGGCTGAGCTGGCCACACACACAAATAAAATTAAAAAATTAAGAACTGACAAAATGACTGTACAACCTATAGTATCTTACTAAAATACATGTCAGTACTGTCCCTTTACATAAATGTTTGTACAAAATATCACTAGAAAATATAAAACTCAAATCCCCAGCTAACTGAAGATGGACATCTCTGCAAACTATTACCCTTACAAAGCAAGTATGTAGACCTTGCTCATTCATGCAAGTAGGTAGAAAAAAAAGTCAGTGGAAGAGATGAAATTCAAATTGGTCTGCATATAAACGTTAAAAATGTTCCCTTTAACCTGACAGAAAAATATTTTAAGCAGATAAACTTATTGTGAATATCTAATAATGGCTTTAGTTAATTACTAGTGATTTCTAACAGTGGCAAGAATGGAGGGCTTGCTATTAGTATTAGTTATTTCTAGAGCCCAGCGTCATTTTTGGAAAGTGTTTACAAAGAATTTAGCTAACCCTCAGATGCAGGTCAGTGTGTTTAATGTATAATGTACCAAAGGTACTTTTTTTTTCCAATACCAGGGATCAAACTTGGGACCTTGCACTTGCCAGGGAAGTGCTTAAGCCACTGAGCTATCTCCCTTGCCCTAAGTAGTTCATTGGTAAACACTTTGTCTTGTATAAATTCCTTATTTCAGTTGTTTTCATGACCAACATGTCATTTGGCTGTACTAATGAAAACTCTTGTGAGGGGCCAGGAAGATGGCTCAGTAGAATAAGACTTCCCTGGCAAGTGCAAGGACCTGAGTTCAATCCCCAGTTCCACCAAAAAAAAAAAAAAAAAAAAAACTGTTCTGAGGGACAGGGATGTACTCAGCAGCATCAGTGTCTTAGCAAGCACAAGATCCTGAGTTCACTTCCTAGTAGGGGGAGAGGAATATATACTAGTTAGGTATTATAGGTATTTATACTAGTTAGGTATTATAGGAGGCAAAAATGTACACAATAAAATAATACTGAAAACCAAAGGTAACCAAGTCACATGACAACCCCACATGATTCTCCATAGCTTTTAATTTGCAATGCAGTGCTTAAGAAAGTAGCTCAGTCACAAGGCCCTTGCATAGCATGAAGCTCTGGCTTCCATTCCCATGACCACACAAAAGGTACAGTGTAATTGGGAATGTCCAAGGTGGAGGAATGCACTACACATGTTTCTTAAATGAATTTGATCCATTTATTGTAGAACATAGCATTAAACTGGGATTCCAAAGAACAAGCTGGATCATGCAACTCTGCAGTATAGGAACTTGGAACTTTAACTGCATAGCTCTGCTTGGGCCTCGGGTGTAGAATTGCATTCTAACTCACCAGAGGAGCAAAGATGGACCAGCCATTGTTCTGGCTATCCCACTGCAAGACGCTGGCAATGGCCCTTCTTGGCCCTGATAGAAGTCTAGAGGGTTATATTCTAAAAAAAGATAAAACAGAATTTCTGGCATGAAGAATACCAGGCACAGCGGAGGACAGCGTAAGTGATCATGCCAATCAAGAATTTTAATTGCTGCTGGCCAGACTGCTCAGCAGATTAAAGTGCCTGCTTAGGTAGACGCAGGGGCCAGGGTTGAAATGCCCAGAGTGCTGTGCTAGTTCAGCCCCCAGGGCACGCTGAGAAGGCCATTGAGACTGGTCACGGTGGTGTGCACCTATAATCCCAGCACTTGGGAGGTTGAAAACAGGAGAATCACTACAAGTCCGATCTGTGTAGTGAGACCTTGTAGACCCTGTACTAAATACAAAAAAAGAAGAAAAGAAAAAGGGTGGGGAAATGGCCCAGTGGAATAAGCACTTCCTTGGCAAGTGCAAGGCCTGAGTTCAATCCCCAGTTCCACCAAATTAAAGAAAAAAAGAAAAAGAAAAAAAAAGAATTTTAATTGCATGTTAAACAGACCCACAAAGAATTTTGCTTGGGAAGCGGGGGAGCAGCTATTTACAAAGATGTATTATAGACAGCTAAATTAGGAAAAAATATTGACAGGTCTAGGCCCTCAAGAGGTTAATGCAGAAGACACTGGCCAGAGGCACATTCACTGAGGGCCAGGATTCAAACTACTCCCCCATGTTTCCCCTAGGGATGGGCAACAGTGATTGATATTCTGAATAGGAACCAATCGCCTCAGGCTGGAGGATCAAACCACTTTAACCCACCCTGTCCAGGGAAGTCCTTGTTATTTGACTTCTCCATTTGATCTCCATTTAATCAATATTGATAGATTTTTCAGGGGAGAACACAGCAGAGAAACAGAGGCAGAAGGAAAAAAAGAAAGGGGCTTTGAGGACATGGAGAGAATCTGGGGAAGAGAAGAGATTTTCTGAACTGGAACAAAGGGAGGCTGAGACCTTTATGGCCCTTTGCCAGTGGTGGAGTTTGAGGGGGATGTTGTTGTTTTTTTTGGCGGACGGGGATTGAACTCAGGTCTTTGCACTTGCCAGGGAAGCGCTTATTCCACTGAGCCATCTCCCTGGCCCAAGGGGGATGTTTAGAAATACCTGAGCTGATTGGGGTCTTCCTTGAGGTGGTAGGAAAGGTGAAAGGAAACTGCACCCTGGACTGAGTTGGAAAAGAAGAGCAGAGGTGCTCTCTGGGAAGATAAGCTGTTGTTTTAAGGGCTTCAGCCATATTAGATGACCACTATAATTCAGCAATTCATACTAGAGCCAGAACCTATCAAATATTACCTAAGCAACTATACTTGTAATTTTGATTCACCATAGTCTTGTCCCAACTCATACCTCCCTTTGTGATTTCCCATTCAGTCAGTATTACCTAAATGACTATATGAAATCTTATGGGTTGATTATAGTTGTCCCACCTTAAACCCACCTCACCTCACAGCTTTACTCAATAAAACACCCTTGAGGACCAGGGTTACGAAGCAAATTACTTTCCAGGCCCCCTTCTATCCCTCTTAGACAAACTTTTTTTTTGCTCAAAAAATTATTCCTACTTTTAAATTGCGTTGTTCCTCCTTTTTTAGAGAATGTGAATTCAGGCATTTTGGACATCTAGCAGGTTTGGGGGTGGGAAGAGGCTGAGACAAGATCTCGCTGCATAGTTCAGGCTGGCTGTGGGCTCACTTTAAAAACTCTCAACAATCCTCCTACCTCAGCCTCCTAAGTAATGAGATTACAGGTATGCATTACCATGCCCAGCTTTAGGTTAGGAGTTCTATTTTCTCTGTATCATGAGTGCGGTTAAGGGAACCTCCAGGGCATAGTAAGGCACCAAAAGTTAGCAAAAGGACAAGCCTTAACCACTCTCTGCCCTTTAAGAAAACTTACAGAGCTCCTTCCCCACACCGGTCTAATCCAACCTGAAGACCAAACAAGGAGCCTTTAGAGGTCAATGGGGTAAGGCAAAGACAGGTAATGGTCGTAGGTGAGGGAAAAAAATAACCAGCCCTGTGATCCATACTGATTTTTGAGCATGAGAGCTGCAGCCCCTAGAACCACTTCGCTACTCGCTTGGAATAGCACTCCCAGCTGAGCTTAACTGGGCAACACTTGACCTTGTTTCAACTTTCAGTCTGTAAACTAGGGTCCTTTTCCTAGAGTATTTTCTACCACCTTCTTACATTTTTGCTTTCTTTCTTTTTTGTTTTGGTGATTTTGGCTGTTTAAAATAGTCCCCACATGCAGGGCTGAAGTGCTATCTAGTGTTCAAAGGCACAAAAAGGCTGAGATATGCCTTACAGAGAAAATACTTCTAGTCAGTCTTTTCCATTCAGGCTCAAATTATAGAACTGTTGGCCATGAAACAATAAAATTGAATTATTTTTTCAATTTTAATGAAACAAAAATATATCTAGAAAAAAGATAGCTTACTGATTCCTATGTGACCCACTCCACAAAGCACTGAAATAACATGTATGTTTTAAGTATAGCAAGACTCATGCAGAACTTGTATGCTTATGACTATGTAATACTGATAAGAAGTATCAAAAAAGATATAAATTGAGAAACATATTGTCAAGAGACAGACTGGAGGAAATCCTCTGACGACACAGACTGGGCAGGTCTACCCCCACTATGATACTGAGGGTTGAACACAGGGACTTCCACATGCTAAGCAACCACTATACCACTGAGCCACATCCTCAGTCCCCAGGCAGGCCCCTGACATCTCATGATAAAAAAGAATCTCAGGATGAGTTAATGAGAGGCATGGGCTGATTCATTAGGCAGTTAGAAAGTAAGAAAAAATAGGCCAGCTAGTTGGGAGGCTGAGGCAGGAAGAATGCAAGTTCAAAGCCTGGGAAAGTTGGTGATACCCTATACCAAACTGACATAAAGACTTAGGAATGTGTCTCAAGTGGCAAGCATGAGGCCCTAGGTTGAATCCCCAGATAACACAAAAAGAGGGGAAGAGTGAAGAGCGAAGGAAGGGGTCAGGGGATAGAAGCTACTGAGTTTGTGTAGTGTCTGGTTGGTCATCATCTCAGTTTTGGTTGTGCAAGGTGGCTCTGGAGAACTCACTTGAGGCAGGGCCAGTCCACTGCCT